TTTTTTTTTTAATGTGGGTCAAATATGGCTCATGAAAGATGTGTCTTAGTTGAGGTTGAATTAAGGCTGATATCAGGAACCTGTTCTGGCCCAGCGTCGGGCCGGAGTAGGGTCGGATATGGTTATACAATGCGGCTCAGATCCGGGCCGAATGCGGCCCGGATCATGGATGCCAGACCCGGGCCACTGCAGGACCGTCATTCATTGCGGTATGTGGGCCGAGTGTCGTGCCGTGTCCGCGCCGGAGCCGGGCCAGACCAATTTTGCTGACTGGGCAGCCTGCCATGCATGTTTTTGGAATGTGGGAGGAAACCGGAGTTAGCAAAATACTCCTGTAGCTCTTTGTACACATTTCCTAAGATTTAATAATCACCGTTGATGATGGTTATGATGCAGTTTACTAAAGATGTTGAGTTTTTGTTATTTTGGTCAATAATAATTGATTGTGAACTGCTCCAAGTGTTGCATACAGCACAGTTGTGTGTTGTTACAATGCATTTTGGGATTAATATTTTAAAAAACACATTCAGTTGATTACTGTAGTTTGCCGCTTCCTTAGTGTAATGATGTTCCCATACCAAAGGGGACAGTAATGCACCAGAACGGCTCGACTCCGTCCTTTCTGCAGGAAATAGAAAGTAGGCCACTCAGGAAATGCAGGAAGCGAGACGGCGAAATGAAGTCCGTAATATTGCCATGGACATTGCGTCAACTGTACATTTAGGTCGTGTACCGATTAAACATAACCGACTCTTCGTGTCGCTAAAGCTTCACCTGCTAGCTCAGCCCGCTCGCTGCTCACAAAGAGACGCGGAAGTTAGCCTCATATACCCAAGCGGAGATCCAGTGTGTGCCTCCCGTGTTGGGATTGATTGAGTGATTACTGTCAGTCTGTTTGGAAAGAATGATAGCGGAGTACGAGGAGGAAATTTGTCGATCAAGAGAAGAAAACGAGCGGCAACGTCAATTACTGGACGCTCTTTTAAAGCATCAAGATGAAAAGCACAGAGCAGGTTTGTTCATCTCGTTCTCTCACAGTTGTTTTAATTTTCAACCCTTCTGGGTCCAGGGATTTCTTACAAGAGAGATTTCGCCCTCCCTCACTCAGAAAAGAAAAGACCTCCTAATAACCATAGCGCCAATTATCGTATGACAGATTTTTAATCCACGTGCAGCACTTTGTATGCAGCAAGGGTTGTTGTGAAGTGCTTTATAAATTAAGTTGAGTCGAATTGAGTAGTCATGCATGGCTACAATGTGTCCACAAATGCCATGGAGATGAAAAGCTGACGAAATGTTATGAAAACAAAACAACTTTTTGGGAGAAAAAAGTGGTGACGTTTGTGCAAATACATGTTTAATCAGAATACGATGTCAGTTTTTTGGCTCTCAAAATAATTGCAATAATATTGTCGTATCTTTTAAAAAAGTGCATACTAACTCATTACGCTTCACGATCATAATATTTTAACTCGTCATAGCAGAATTTGATTTTTCCAAACCACATGCATTGTCTTCAGAGTCCCCTTACATTAAAGAAGAAGAACACGAACACAGCATCGGTCAGGAAGAAGAGCAGTTTCGAGAGCTGGAGGACGGTGATGTCACCAAGCAGCCCTTTAACTGTGTCATTGTGAAGAGTGAAGATGACGACGGGGATGGAGACCACTGTGGAGGATCACAAGCAGACAACTTCTTAACTCCACTATCAAACAGTGACAACACGTCACCCTCTCCTGACACGGATGATGACGAACACTGTAAAGGTGATGCGACAAGTCACAGTGACTGCAAGGGTTTGGCATGCCTTCAATGTGACAAAACGTTTAGCAACAA